CGTCAACAGTGAAAGCGTCATTCGTAGATTCGTCTATGACAATCGACAATTCATCGTGATTTCTCTTACTCTGAGCATCCATCGTTCTTCTTTTTTCTTTTTAGCACGTCCGATCGACAGAATAAGTACACTGACACGCCTACAATATCTCGCGCCTTTTTTTATACATCCCCACAATCTAGAGGACATCTCCCTCGTAACATCATATACGACATCTCTCTCTCTCTCTCTTGTTTAAAGAGTACAACATTACACTTATTTGTCACATTCGATTATCTCCGAGATTCACATAACCTTGATAGGTACATTAACATTACACAAAATATAATGCATTATAGAATACTATTAAATAAATTGATTAAATTGTTTAATTCAACGAGCAAGTCGCGTGATAACCTTGAGCGCGACCCTGAGACTATAAATAGATCGCACTTGCGCGTCGCAAAAGACGAGGAAAAACGATAAAATTGTCTTAGAAAAACGACCTCGAATAAATAAATGTAAATTCATACAGAGCGCACTCGCGCTTCGCAAAGACGAGGAAAACCGAGAAAATTATCTCGGACGAGCGAGCTTGAATAAATTAACGGTAAACAAATGAATGTATTTAATTCAATGCGCACGAAAACCTTGACAGTGAAGCGCGACCCTGAGACACTGATATGTATAATATGGATAGCGGATGGGCTGCAATTCGTGTGCCGACTTGAGAGCCGCCATGTTGACTCGATTGTGTCATTTTCGGGAATTGTCGGTATCTGTCGGGTGCATTCGTAATGTTTACATATGTCGCGTTATATATCATGTGTTACGGACGCGTTTCGGTTCGGGTGCTCTTCAGTGTATATTTTTGAAAGTGGTGCCGACTTTGACTGTGCATTGTATCATACAGATGCGTGTCCGTGGTTGAGCTCGTCTCGATTGTTCGTCATTTTGCACCTTTTGACGACCTGGGCTCTCATGACGCGCGTTATTGCGGCGTGACGATATCACCCACTTTGGTTTCACACCTATCTTTTGAAGCATATAATTTTCTTTTGGCACGACTGGCCACGTTTATCCGGATTTACCGGAACCTGGGCCATCCAAATTTAGAAGAAGTTATAGATTTGGTGATCGTTTTTGTAAATGCAATATGAAGTGCTATTTCTGTGGGAAAAAGGTAGAGAAGACTGCATCGGTGCAAAGAACTCTTCATCGGTAAGGGAAATTTACTAATAAATTACGTTATTGAGATCATGCGATAAGTTTAACCAATATTTATTCTTGCTATATTTTCTTGCTATATTTCCTTTGCTTTTTCTTCTTCTATATTTATTCTTTCTATTTATGTTTATACTGATTTCAAAGCTCCCGCGGAACCGCTATCCTTCATTCCCCACTCCCTCCACTTCTCAAATGACACACCTGAGTCAACATGGCGGCCCTTCTATTCAGCACAAAAATTTAGCATTGCTGGTATAGGGCATTCGCTATCCATATATACATATCAGTGCCCTGAGACTATAAATATATCGCACTCGCGCGTAGCGAAAGACGAGGAAAACGGGAAAATTGTCTCAGCGAATAAAATAATATGTAACACCACGAATGCAACCTTGAATAAAACGATCGCATGTAACAGGATATAATAAAGAGGAAAAAAAAACGTCGATTCTGAGAAATAACGAATCTATCCGAAAAAGGTTATCTACGATGCGGGTAGCGCGACCTTAAGTCTATAAATAGATCACTCCCAGAATCGGTATTCTAATACGTATAACAGGGAATAATGAAGAGAAGAAAGAACTCGTCGATTACATCAAACAGCGAAATGATGAATCTTACCGGAAAATGTTATTTTTCCGATGCGTGACCTTGAGTCTATAAAAAGATCGCACTCGCGCGTAGCGAACGACGAGGAAAACGGAAAAAAAATAACTCGAGCGCGTCTTCAAATAAATATATACATTAATATCAAACAAAGTAAGGGCACAGTATATCAGTATATTAGTCAACGCAACAATTTACTTTTGTTTTTCCATAAAATAACATGGAGAAACCTGTTGAGAAAAGCATACACGCAACGATCACGTCGCGAAACGGAAAAGAGTGAGGAAGAGAGAGAGAGAGAGAGAGAGATAGAGCGCGTCGAGTGAGTCATCCGAGGCGCGACCTTGGAGATGACAGATAGATCGAGGTCGCGGCGAAAAAGACGACGAAAAAGAAAAAAAAGATCACGCCGCGCAACGGGAAAATAGTGAAGACGAGTGAGAGAGATAGAGATAGAGCGCGTCGAATGAGTCATTCGTTGAAATGAATTGTCTCCGGAGCGCGACCATGAAGGCTGTAGATAGATCGAGGAAAAAGGAAAAAATAAAGGTGAGAATCGTCTTTTGAGGCAAGAACGCGCGCATCGCGTAACGGTAACAATACCACAACAACAATAATAATTGACGATTAGATTTCGTTTTTTTTTTTTTTGAAAAGACAAACTGAACATTTCACCCAACACATTTTTTTTTTCCCTCTTTTATTTTTCATTTTTATTTTTTTTTTCCAACCGTAAAGGTGTAACGACGATACGACGCGCGACCGAACGGAACGACGACGACGACGATGACGACGACGGCGTCGAGCGCACGATGCGCGCGTGATCGAGCTACGAGGAGGAATAACGACGACGACGAACGGACGACCGACCGACCGACCGTCGCGCCGCTCGCGAGGATCTCGGCGCGCACGCGCGATCGAGGGCGCGAGCACGGGAAGAGTCATAACCTGTAAGAGCGCGCGCGCGGCGAGAGAGAGACCTAACCTCACTTCGCGCGCTTATGCTAATCTAATAACCCAACGCGCGCGATCACGTGACTACCACATGCGCGCGCGCGCGCAACGCCACACCGATTCCACTCCGGAAGCTCCAAGGGGGGTGCGGGGACGTAGACATAACCTGTAAAAGCGCACGCGAGAGAGACATAACCTCGCTTCGCGCGCTCGCCGCGGCGAGCGCGTGGCGACGGCACCTGCGAGGCGCGACCTTTGTCGATTTCCCGCGCTTTTTTACTTTCACACGCACACACGCAAACTCGCACGCACACACAAACAAAAAGAAGCAACGCCATTGGCTATCCCAGAAAAAGAAGCAACGCCATTGGCTATACCAGCCGTGGCGAGTTCTAATTGAGTTAGAACATACCTACCTCTCCTACTCTAACAATTTTTGATGCTTATAGCATCTTATTGGATCTTAATAATATGTTGAAAGACATATTAAAATTTTAACGATGTAATGTTAAATTAATGATATATCGAAATCTGTGAAAAAATAAGATTGCGAAGAATATCACAAGTTGGCGTTTCGTCCCGGCTTCCCACTACTAGACTCATCAGTAAGGTAATGTAATTTCAACACGCGATTAAGGAAACTACATACGTAAATAAAATTCACACATTACATTAGCAACCAAAATCCTGCTCTTGACCGTCATTTGGCCGATTATATATCATAAATAATCATTGATTCTATTAACAACACGAAAAGGTCCAAAATAAGATGGTTGTAAAGATCTGCAAACTGAATCATCTCTGACCCAAACGTGAGTACATTCAAAAAGATTTTTGTGATAGAAAGGAATCTTTGTAGTATGATGAGCTGATGTAGGTCTTGATTTAATATTTCTCATGGCAACTCTATGTTTTTCAATGAATATTTCAGGATCTGCCGGTGGGTCTTCTTCCTTAAAGAATTCTCCCGGAATCCTTAAAGTTGATCCATAAAGCATTTCAGCTGGAGATGATTTTAAATCTTCCTTAAAACAGGTACGAAGTCCTAATAAAACGGTTGGTAAGATATCTATCCAGTGTTCAGTTTCATGACACATAATAGCACTTTTTAAGGTACGATGCCAGCGTTCTAAGATTTCATTGGAGGCAGGATGGTATGCTGAAGTTCAAATCCTTTCACAGCCAATCAAATTTGTAAGAGCTTTGAATAATGATACTTCAAACTGAGAATCTTGATCCATAGTAATGGTTTTAGAAAAGCACCATATCTCGAGACCCACAAGTTATTGAAGTGTTAATCGCGAATATACACAAGTGTCGTATGGTTCGAAGGGACTTGTCAAATATAAGTTACCCCTAGAGTATTTCGCTTGAATGGGCTATATAGATGGCGCTACGCGCAAATTAAATTAAATTACATTAAATTAAATTTTAACACTTTTTCTACCATAATCGTCATTCTGACTTGTCACCAATACATTTTAATCTGTCAATGACGTCTAGAAAGATTATAGGACCACTGATTACAAATAAGGTTCTAGATTTAAGTAATTCAAAATGTCGGATCCAAATGGCGAACGACTTTTTGAAAAATTAGTTTTATTTATTTGGATCTTCTTACTTTCCTTTAGCGTTACCCGGGGCCAACGACGTGTACGTAGAAAGTTATGTGGCCCCTTTTTTGTTTTTGTTTTTTTGTTTTTGTTGTTTTTTTTGTTTTGTTTTTGGGTTTTTGTTGTTTTTTTGTTTTTTTTGTTTTTTTGTTTTTGTATAATAATAATAATAAGATTAATAATAATAATAAGGTTTGTATATAGCACATGTATTACTAGAGCTCGACGGTAGTATTTCTTATGACCAACCAAATATCCATTCCTGTAACCTTATTTGTAATCAGTGGTCCTATAATCTTTCTAGATGTCATTGACAGATTAAAATGTATTGGTGACAAGTCAGAACGACGATTATGGTAGAAAAAGTGTTAAAATTTAATTTAATGTAATTTAATTTAATTTGCGCGTAGCGCCATCTATATAGCCCATTCAAGCGAAATACTCTAGGGGTAACTTATATTTGACAAGTCCTTTCGACCCATACGACACTTGTGTATATTCGCGATTAACACTTCAATAACTTCCCTTGCCAGTGAGTATAGAAAGCTGTAGTAACAGTTTCCGCTGATATCTCACTCAAAGGAATTGCTTCTGGCCATCTCGAAAATCTGTCAATCATGGTTAAGCAATAACGAAATTGTCTGCAGGGAGGTAAAGGTCCAATAAGATCAAGATGTACATGCTGAAAACGTTGATCAGGAACTGCAATCTTAAGAGGTAAATTCTTGGTATGTCATAGAATTTTGGCTCGTTGGCAAGGTAAACATGTTGTACACCATTCCTTAACATCTTTTTTAAGAGAAGGCCAAATAAATTTTTGAAGAATAGATTTGCAAGTAGATTACCATCTGGATAAGCTAAGCGATGGACTGTATCAAAAATTCGAAGTAGTTAAGGAACATAAGGACGAATACATTTCGTAGAGCAATCGTAATAGATCGGAGAAGTTGAGCCAGTAAGTATAAATTGCTGTAATTTTAAAGATGAACTTGATGTCAGTAAAATTTTCAATTCTTCATCATTCAGCTGAGCCTCTGCTAGTTCTTCGAGAGACACTATAACGGGCATGGAAATAGAATCTATTCTCGACAAAGCTACTACAGAATTACGTCCTGCAGAAATATGCACTATATCTGTTGAAAATTGAGCAATAAAATCAAGTTGTCGAATTTGTCGAGGAAAAGCTTTATCCAATTTCTGACGGAAAGTATAAATCAGAGGTTTATGATCAGTTCTGATAATAATTCGGCGTCCTTCTATAAGGTATCTAAAATGTTTAATAGCCAAATAAATACTTAACAACTCTCGATCATAAGCACTATAAGATTGTTGCGATGTGTTTAACTTTTTTGAGAAAAAGGCAATGGGTTTATTTGTTTCGTTAATAATTTGTTCCAGCGATGCGCCAACTGCAAGATTTAGAAGCATCACAGGTTAAAATAAGAGGAACTGAAGGAGCTGGATGAGTTAAATTTGAGATTTGCATGAGCTCTTATTTGCAGTTCTTGAAAGCTTCTTCAGCTTCAGGTGTCCAAAGACCTAATCTTCTATCTCGTTTTCTGCTATCTTTAAGAAACTCGGTAAGAATAGCTTGACTACTAGTTGCATTTTTAAGACATCTTCGATAATAATTATAATAATGCCTAAGAATCGTCTCAATTCAAGGAGAGTTTTTGGTTTCTTATAATCAATAATAGCTTTAATTTTTTCAGAAGTCGGCTTGATTCCTTGACTAAAAACTACATACATTTTCGAGAAAAGGAATCTCTGATACACCAAAGAGACATTTAGAAACATTAATTGTAAGTCCAGAATTTTGAAGCCATTCAAAAATAACTCGTAAATGATAAAGATGTTCTTCTTCATTAAGAGAGGCAATTAAAATGTCATCTAAGTAACAAAAACAAAATCTAAACCTCTTAATATATTATTCATAAGGCGCTGGAAAGTTTGGGCAGCATTACGAAGGCCAAAAGGCATCACTAAAAACTCGAAAAGACCAAACGGAGTTGTAACCGCAGTTTTATGAATATCTTCTTTCGCCACCGGAACTTGATAATAAGCCTTGACAAGATCAATCTAGAGAAAATGTTCTTACCGTGAAGTCCTGACGTAAAATCTTGAATATGTGGCAATGGGTATCTATCCGGAATAGTAACTGCATTCAAAGCACGATAATCTCCGCATAATCTCCATGTATTATTCGGTTTAGGAACCATATAAAATGGAGTTGCCCTGGTGCTGCTAGAAAGTCGACAGATAACATTTTCGATCATAGAAATAAATTCGGCTTTTGCGAATTTTAATTTCTCAGGAGATAATCTTCGTGGAGTAGAGTAAATAGGTTGACCTTCTATTAAAATATGATGTTCAACACCGTGATTTTTGATAGTAGAAATCGGTGCGAAATTCGTTAAACTTGGAAATTCAGCTAAAAGTTTCTGGTAAGTGGAATTCGGCAAAGTAGTACAAATCGTGAAATGATTGACCGCCGAAATTCTTCCAAAATGTGACAAACCAGTAACATTGTCAATAAGGCGTTTATTTTTCATGTCAATAAGTAAGCCGAAATGACTAAGAAAATCTGCACCAAGAATAGGATTTGAAACATTGGCAATGCAAATGTTACGTCCTGTAGACTCCACGATTCTTTTCTTTCAAAGGATCTTGATCAGCGTCATGACTAGAGTGAGATTTACGAGAAGGGACTGAGCGCGGATATCTGATAATAGAGTCTAAGTAAACTCCACGCGCTGGGAAACTCGTAAATGCCACTCAAAAGAAAAATCAAAAGAGAAAAACAGCTTGCGTACAAAGGGCTGGCGGCGATAAAAATTGCGAAACCGTATATTTCTAAGCGGTCACAGGATAACGAACACTCTAAAGTACCATCTGGGGGTGATCCGCGATTCTAAGGAAACTAGTTTAAAAAAATAACAGGCGCCATGTCCATCGTGCCAAATCGTAAAACCCTTAGAGGGTTTCCCACGGCAATGTTTATCTGACACATAACAAATGTAAACCGCAAAAATTTGAACCTTTCTAAATTAAAACGATTACCTAACCACAAAATAAAAAACCCAATAAATTACAACCTTTGTGAAAATTAACCCCAAAAATTTGAACCTTTCTAAATTAAAATGATTATCTAATAATGTAACCTAATAATTTAAACCTTTAATACTTTAAATGATATTATCTAATATAATATATTACCACGAAAAGTAACTGATATATTACTAAATGTGCCAGTTCAAAGTGAACATACATTATGTATATTTTCTATGTTGAATATGTACCAGGAAAAGTAACTAATAGATCATTTAAGGTGCAAATTCAAAATGAACATACCTACATATAAGTAAAACAGATTACAATTAAAATATTACAGTTTTCTAGAAAATAACTGCAATAAACATACATAAAGTATATTTTCTATGTTGAATATGTACCAGGAAAAGTAACTAATAGATCATTTAAGGTGCAAATTCAAAATGAACATACATACTGTGACGTGAAACTTTGTGTCAGTCACTTGTGAGTGCATTAGCACGGAGATCCTGTGTCCTCTAAGCTCGAAGGGCGAGGGCACAAGCGAGCGTGCCAAATTTATATTTTTTTTTTGTAACTTTTATATAAAATATTTAGTTATTTTCAGACTTTTTAAGAACGATTTTTAGTCACATTAGAGCGTGAGCGGTGGTTGCGATAGGGCCTTGTATTCTAGCTGCCTCACTTACGGAAGGAAGAAAGAAGACATCGCCGAAGAAATAAGAACTAACTTGAGAGGATTCAGATTGCGTCATCAAAGAGCGCGGTACACGCAGATCGTATTGTTCTGTAACCTCCGTTAATTTTGATATTATTTGGTAATTGTCGCACCTTTATTACAGACGCCTCGGAGAGAGACGTATTAAAAGATTGAAGCAGCACTGGCCGAGTATTAACAGCCGCCTTCACTTCTGCGGAGAGCGAAGGAAGACCGCCGATCGAGCGGAAAAGCCTGCGCCGCCTAATTTGGAAAAGTGCGCCAGACACTCGAAGGATACGCGACCCGCAGGACTCGCTGTAATTAGTCTCGAGGTCGCGTGGCTGTGACAAGCCAATTAGATCAGGAAGCGGCCTGATAAGAGAGGGGCCAACGGCCTGCGTGAATCCGCGGAAGCTCCCGATCGCCACTTGTGCGGTAAACGGGCCCGTGTACAGAGGACACAGGATCTCCAGTTGGCACGTAAAGGATTTTCGAGAACTTTCGAGCATTGGCTTAACGTCGCTGTTGCCGGACGACGAGAGGACGATAGGAGGATCGACGAGGTCGTAGCGTGGTGAGGCGAGCGTCGTATAATTTGTGTAAAACCACCGATCGCGGAATGTGGAATGCGGTCTGATTTTCGGAGAAAATCGAAGTTTAAAAAATAAAATTTCGTATTTCTTGTGAGTTTGGAGTCGTAAGTCATGTGCCATTCAACGCGATAGACCCTCAAGATTGTTCCTAAACCATAACAAAAATTTTAGAAAGGCTATAGCGGGATAAGGAGGTCAAAACTGCCCTAGTCTGGATTATTACTTGGAATTGGCCATTTGATAGGGCATATTTAAAAACTCCTTCAGCCCAAATTTCAGCCCCCTAGGCGATAATGGGTTGCTCCTAACGTGAAAAACGTGTTTTTTAGAAAAAAATTTCTACTGCTCAACTGTTTTCTCCAAAAAATCTGAAAAAATTCATGAACGTGAGTTTTTGGGTAAGAAAACATCCTAATTTTTTTCAGATTTTTTTGATCAAAACTGTAGCTATGAAAAATACATGAACTTTTCAATGATTTTTTAGGTTATGAAGGTCATATTTGGCCAAATTCTAAATAACATTCTCTGGTGTATTTTTTCACGTACTTCAGCATGCCGGTCTTAGAATTAACATTTTCGGACCGGAACCTGTTCAAAATTTGATAAAAAACGATTTTTTCGCATTTTTTCCATATTATTGGCACATAACCTAAAAATTAAATAGTTCAATAGATGATAGAAGACAGAAAAATACTCTAGAAATTTTCTAAATAGTTTTTAGAATCTAATATTATTTTGCTGTAGCTACAAAAGGTCTGGTTCAGCCAACTTTAGGTGCGGGGAAACTTCATATTATTTGCTGAACACGCTAACATAAATATTTTTTCAACTGCACTTCAATATAAAATATTACAAATTGATATGCAGATAGGCTGAGTACTATAACTAGGAGAAATATTTGATATTTTCAGTGATTTTTTAGGTTATAAAGGTCATATTTGGTTAACTTTGTTACGGAACGTTGTGGTTTTAGAAATTCTCTCCTGTTTTTGGGTCAATGCATTTAAGCAATTTACCCTGGGATTGGAGGTCAGGATGTGCGATTAGGAATGTTCAGGAGGAAGGGTAGGATAGTTTTTAGGAAGGGTGACTTTGAACCCGGTCCCAAAGAGTTCGCGAAGTTTGTAGGCGAGCCTGCGTGGATCGCCTTTTTGGATGGTTTTATAATTGGGAAAGGTGAGGTTAATTTCTAATGGGTTGAGGATATATTCGCGTTCGGGAGATGGATCTAATGGCTTATTATGGTTTAGTAGACGCGCTAGTTTTTCGAAATAAGGAAAAGGATCGTGATTTTTATTAAAGGCTGTTTTGATCTGGAACCTTAATCTCTTCTCTTTTTCTCTTCGTCCACCTTTTGAAGGCATGGAAACAACGCGAAAGAAATTGTCTAATTTCGAGGAAAATGTCTAAGACTGGGGCCACCCCATTGGCAGCGACAGTCACAACACAGTCCTCTATGTATAATTTGTGAATGCTCCGAAAAAATGCTTAGGACGGGGGCCACACTATTGGCAGCGACAGTCTTAGCAACTCCTCCGATATTCATGTACTACTAGACAAGACGCAGAGTTGAGATTTCGGTTACGGCTGAATAACTTTTATATTCTGTTTATTAAGTAAAAAATAAAGGAAAAAATAAATGACGAAAAGAAAAAAATAACCTACGTCAAAAGGTGAAGCGTGAGGATAGTTCCAACTAAGGAAGCTTTTTCTGACAACTGACTGACAATTTTCCTGCTTTTCGCAGTTCTTTTATACTAAAAAATGATCGTGGGAGTGTCCTTTCAGGACCAATCAAGATTCTTTAGAATTTGGTGGAACCTATGCTCGCGCTTGTTTTCTTACGATAAGGGAGCAGCGCTCCGCGTAAGCTCTACTCCCGATACTACGAGTCTAGTCTTATCTTAGTAGACGAGAGTTTTAATAATTTATAAAAGTTCGATTTTC